TGGTTTAATGAAGGCCTCTTTTACATCAGGTGCTCTCCGAGTTTGGGAGGATGCTCTGGGGGCTGTGCTGCAGCCCAGCCTGTACATACCAGTAAAGCTGGACAATTTGCCTTCCTATGACTTAATGAGAAAATCTATCTGGAAGCTGCGAAATACTGCAGTCTCCAATATTTTCACAATTTATGAAAGATTCCCCTGCGATGGCTTGCTGAATGGTGTTAGCAGCTGCTCAGTTTGGCGGCCTGATGGAGTCGAGGCTGCCGCAGCTCTGTGTGCCCGCATCCAGCAGGCAGTGGGGCCGAGCACGTGTTCCCATAGACACACAGGGAGGGTCTGCAGGTGGGTCTCAGTTGACGCCCAGACCCTTGGGCAGTTGGCCTGGACCCTCTGGTCCTTCCAGCAGCCAACTCAGTCTCTCCAATCACTGATACCATGGACACACGGGCCTCCAGACCCTGGTCCCACCACAGGGGCTGTCACTGAGCCCCCACACACCCCTGCACACAGGACAGAGCCCCTCACCAAGGAAAATAGCTAGAAATGGGGTTTAGTGAGAGGCCAGGACAGACTGCACTGGTCACACACAGGGCATGGCCAGGCAGGTTGTACTGACCAGCCCCTGCTTGCACATGACCGGCCCCTTTTGTTCCCTTATCCCACTGTTTTCCCACTCGCTCCTCCACAAAACACCTTGATCCTCCCTTTCCCCATGCTTCCCAGAACATCCCATGGTAAGTCCTGTGCAGTGTTGAAATGCCCTTCCTCTGCCCTCCCATGGTGGCCCCCACGCCCCTGGCAGTGACCCCTCAGTCTGTGGGGTGATGGGGACCCTCTCCAGTTCGCTCATGGTCACAAGTGTCCTGCAGCCATGGGCTGAGGCTCCCCAGGGCAGCCCAGGGGTGAGAGGGTTGTGGGCTCTATTGGGCTGATGAGGTGACTGGGGCTCCCTCCTGTGCCAGTGTGCCCCTCTGCTCCTTCTTGTGTGTGGGAACGAGCCTTTAGTCATGAAAGCTAACAGGTTGTGTCTGTTTTATTAACGAACCAGACATTTACTACACCTTGGGGGGAAAAATCCTCCTGCAGGGGTGTTTGGCCCTTCTCCCCATACCGCATAAGGTACGTGGCTCTGTCTGGTCCTTGAATTATCATATTACTGATACTGTTTGGTAAGTCTGGGGCTAAGAGCTCGAAACCCTGCCTGCCTTGGCAGGCAGAAAGTCCTGGTCACCATGGACTGGAGAGTCTTCCCTGAGCCACAGCCCTCAGTGGCAGTCCAAGACTTTGTCAGACTTTTCTCTGTCTCTTGTTTCCAAGCAGTTTGTCAAAACAAACTAATCCCTCCCCCTTGCTCTACATAAAGTCTAGTAACAGAGTCTCCATCCTTGGAGAAATTAAAAACCCAACTGGACATGACTGAGCAACCTGCTGTAGGTGACCCTGCTTTGAGCAGAGGGTTGGCCAAGACCATCTCCAGAGGTCCCTTCCCACCTCAGCCAGTCTGTGATTCTTCAATGCATAATAGTTTTTCATGTTTGGGGAGGGAATCTTCTTTCTTCATATACTAGGTACAAGAGGAAGTACCGTATTACCAAACCAAGTTGATTTGTATGTTCTTTGTTTAGTGAAAGGCTACGACTATGACAGCGGCTAGAAAGAGTTGACAGAATTGTATTGATACAAAGGGTGGTTCTCTGGACCACTTTCACTTGGAGAGGGTAAACTGGTTTCAGACTGAGCTGAGAGAGCTCATCTCAGCGCATCCACTACTTGAGAAGATACTCTCCAAACTCAAACACAGACCAAAAAGGTTAAGATGTCTGCTCTTATTACTTATCTAATAAAAATGCAATGAATAAAAGTTAAGGGTTTTTTGTTATGTCACCACCCTTTATACCAAAATATTTGAAATGTACCCCGTTCTTTTTATCCTGTTCTCTTCATCCTGGTTCTGAAACTGAAATTCTTTCAACTGAAGCAGAAATCCTTTGTGAGCTTGAAATTGGAGCATCTAATACAGTAACTTGTTACATAACTAGTTCCATTTTTATTAAAGCATGTCTGTGCCACAGCAACTTTCTATAAGCAATACATAAATGAGGTTTTGAAACTCAGTTTCAAAAATCAGGTTTTATAAATTCAGTTTTGAAATATGATTTTTGCTACCTATAAATGAATTTCAGACCAAGTCTTAAGTCAAATCAATTTTAGAAGATAGTCTAAAACCTAGAATACTTCCTTCCTACTATTCATGGCAGAATATTTGCTGGTTTGGAAATCCCATTTCTTGAAGAAGTCTGAAAAGAAATGCAAAATCAAATTTGCACTTTAAACACTTAAGGCAGATTCTCAAGGCCCGTCAATGAATGACCAAATGAATGTTATGTATTTTGGCATATTTGACCAAGGCTATCAATAAACAAAGTTAAAGTTCCTAGAATGAGAGACCAGAATACTAATTCCTGCATTTTCATTAGCTGCTGCACTAGAGTTCCTGGGAGAATAAGTACAAATCGGACATCTGTTGAATTCTCATTATAGCAGTGTGACTGGGCAATGCACTCCAGAAAAGAGCAAGGGAAATCTTAAATGAATTTGCAGGGAAGCATTTTTACAGCTGTTGCAGATCTTAAAATCAGCTAGAAGAAGATTCTGTGTTCTTCAAAAATGGGAAGAATAATGTTTAAAAATTACATTATTTTTAAAAAAAGGTAATGGTGAGTTCCTGAATGACCTCAGGAACCATATACTTTTTCATCTGAAGAGGCACAGAGCTACTTTTCATGTTGCAGATTTATAAAAGCTGTCAGTCATGTGAGCACAAGGACAAACTGATAATGTTAGCTAGCCATTAGTTATATAGGTACATAGCAATGCCAGATGGGAGGAGCTTTATGCCATCCTTGGACACTTAGCAGTTGCTGAGCAGCTGCCTACACAGTGTATTCAGTGCATTTCTGAAGGGCAAAAAATGCCTCCTCCACCCATTAAAGATGTCCTTGTTCGCTGTACACAAGTGAACTGCTTCCTTTGTTAGGAAATGTCTCTTCTGACTGCCTTTTTTAAAAAAAAAAAGAAAAGATATATGAATTCTTTCTCTCAGTAACAAGAACCAAACCAAAGGGGATAAATATGCTCACCTGAATGGATGACTGTTCCAGGTCGGTGGCATTACTGTACAGAACAAGGTGCACATGCATGAGGACAGGCTGCAAAGCTGGGTCCCCGGACTGTATGCTATCTGTATTTCCCTTCTCAGGCAGGGTGTCTAGCTAGTGAAGAATTAATTTCACAAAAATTTCATGTCCTTATTCAGTCCAAGATCCAGTGAAGGCCTAAGGCAGGCATTAGCTTAACACAAGAACCTTAAATTGAAAGTTAGTTATCAAAGCTATGAAAGATATGTTCCAGATGCAACACAACAAAATTTGCTTCTGCCAAAGCTGGGGGAAATGCCCAAACTCACAAGGGTAGATTATATTTCCCCATCTCAAGAGGCTTTAGGTTCCTCCAGCTGCCCTGCACACAGCAATTGGATGCTTAGCTCTGCCCTGGTTCAGGTGAGATGTGGAGCTCCAGCAGCAGCCTCCTTTGCCAGTAAGGAGCAGCTTCAGTAGGATAAGCGAGGACATCTCTGCTGGAGCCAAGCCAAGCCCGCAGGGGCTGTAGACCAGCACTGAGCCTGGGGGAGCACCCTAATCCGGCTATCAGAAATGCTGTGCCGCTGTCACACTGCTGCTGCTTCACAAGGAAGCTGTCAGCTCTTCCAGCTCGGGGGTTCAAACTCGATTATCCCAAAATTGCACTTTGGTACTTCCCTGGTGCTCCTGGGAATGACTGCCAAAATTCACAAGGAGACTTAGTGTGGATGGTATCATGTTGTGGAAATGTCCTCCAGTAAATCATGGGTTTTAGTTCATCTGAATTCTGAATAATCACTCAGAGTATCTTCTTTCAAAAGCAGTATTTATTTTTTCATCAAGATAAGACACATTACACACTGCATAAAGTAAAAAATACTGCTAGAAAAGCTGCATTTAACTGAGATAACAACAAAAAGTATATAGATTGCACTTGAGAAAGTAGGCTCTATCCCAGAAGAATACAGTAAATAAAAAGCTAGCTAGTGATTTGAAATTAGGAATCTTTCTGAGTTTCCTTTGAAAATGTATTTATTTTGGGGGGTTCCAATTCCACCAATAAAAATGAACTAGATTAGGTTTTTTAATAGCATTGCTTTTTAAGTTACAACAATATGTAAAAAACATATCAATTATTACATAGACAAAAGAGAAAATAAAGGTGTGGAAAAACATCTCTGCAATTTCTGCTAATAAATAAAAAGGAAAAGTTTTGCTGGTATTTGGTTTCACCAGGGTCATTGCAGCTCGGGGCTTGGGATTTTAGGAGTTTCACTTAGTTTACATCTATGCTATCATTCCCACACTGCAATCTAAAGCCCATCCTTAACTCTCCTGCACTGGCCTGGAGCATACTGTCTTTATGGCAGATGGCAGCAGGAAGCAGTGAATGGTTCCATTCATTACTAAGTGTCCCAGGAGAAACACTTTAAATTATGTGACAAGTTTAGCCTCTATTTAAGAAAGTAAACCTAACATTAAGCAAGAAGATAATCCCTATTATACCAACTCTTTTTACTTGACAGCTGAATTTTTCTGCTGGACCCTGGCATCCACTGCTGCCTGTATCTAATTCAGCTAGCTAAACTATTAGCTGTTCAGTCTTTAAAATGAGTATTCATACCATCTACCTTTGTGTATCTCACTTAGATGCTAAAATCAGATTTCTAATCTCCCTACATAGTCAAAAGAGAGAGAGAAAAGCTCCCACGTTGGGTGATTTCAACCTGGGGTCTAAGGCACACTGTGGGAGACCCTCTCTCCCCATTGCCTGTAGGGGTAACTCAGGCTCCCAGATGAGGCTGGATCCCCAAAATTAGGTGGTGTAAACCCCCCCCCCACCCCAACACACAGCTGTTCAGGTTGGAGACTGGGCGTCCATGCAGAGGGGTGTGGGAGACACCAGGCGCAGTGGATGCCTGGTGCACATTCTCCCCTGTGGAATGGGAATTAAAGGACCACTAAAAGCACAAAGCCATATGAAACTGATGTTTCCTACAACCAATGCTAACTACGAGGCCAGAGTGCTTAGGCATAAATCGGGCATAATTCAGTCACGAATATACATTAGAGTGCACTGTCTCAAAAACAAGCAGTACTGCCAAGGTCTCGCATGCAAACTTCTTCCAAAATTAGCTAAAAATTATGGAATGGCTCGGTCAATCTTGTTATTAAGCTAGAGACAGGAAAAGAATGAAGTCGTCTTTAAATAGTCCTGAAATATGAAACGAAGCTGGCAATCTTTGGTTACAGTGCTGATCTTTTAACGTGAATTGCTTTGAAAAATGATGAATCGCTTCCCAAGTCAGCATTCAGGAGCATTTTTAAATAGACATCTGGGAGCCAGAGAGGAAAAATTAATATAAATAATAAAACTCCCACACATTTTGAATCTCAAAGGTTAAAGTACAGGAAAGAAAGTAACACAACATTTCTAAGGGATGCTTCAGTAAAGTTTTGCTAAAATTATGAAAGAGCATTTATAAAATACTTGCGCTGATGAAGAGGGTAAATCAGAACATTAGGGCACTTTTATAACAAAATTGTAGACTGCTAAAACACACGGGCTTAAAGGCTCTCAATATTATATTATAGTACGTGCCAGTTTCCACTAATTATAATGCACTATTGTCAAACTACTTTGCTCTTTCAGAGAGACAGAAACACAAGAGGCAACACAAACAAGATGAATCAATGCAACCTATGTCTGCTATTAAATATAAAACATCAGCCATTAAATATGCCACCCCATTCCCTCTGTTACATTCATGACCAAAACTCCAATTCTTTGCCAGACTTAAATCTGCCTGTATTTTACAATTTTGGAGCAGCATATTAAAACCTTTAAAGCTAATTTGGAAGGATATATTTTTTTTCCTTTTTCAGCTAGAGCACTTTCATAACATTCTGAAAGGCACAGGAAGCTATGCTGTAGCTTTTAAAGTGCTTATTTTATTATGAGGTGGTGTTTAATAATATTCTTCTGGAAGTTAATAAATGATGCACGTTTTCCATGACAGACAGACATTGCTTAATGAGTTAATATGCCTCAGCAAAATGCAATCAAAAAGAAATTCACTGTCAACAGTTTAACCATGGCAATACACAGAGCTGAAATGAGACAACTAACCTCAGATAACTAAGATTAATGCATATATGATGAAGTTATAATAATCCATATTTAAAACAAACAAACCAACCAACCCCAAACCAAATAATGATAATTAAATCTCAAGCACAGTTTTGTTTCCCAGTAACACAACTGCAAAACACATCAATATTTTCAACAAACAAGTGCCCTATCTTCATCGCCTGCTTGGGGAAACGGCAATCCTCGAACTGCAGTGAGGAGGATACAGGGGAGAGCTGTCTCTCCCTTTTCATGTCGAGGGGGCTCCTCCTGGGCAACTGTGGGCAGCTCTGGGCAAGGAGCAGGAGTCCAGTCCAGGTAGGTAGAGACCAGAATCGGCCCCAGACCACAGGGATTTACCGGGGGACCAGGGGGGAGCCCGCCTTGCAGAAGTGCCTGGGCGATGGCTCCTGTGGAGTCACCGTGGCAAAAGTACCAGCTTCCGCACCCCCCTACCACCACCAGTGTCCCGGCTTATGCAAAGCAACTACTAATTTCAGCACACAATTTGCTTGAGTACAAACAGTGAGATTTGACTTTACTGGTGTGTTATTTTATGTAGCGATGGATTTTCCTCATTATATCTCACTCTGTTGTGCAGGAACGCTGGTAAGTTCCCTCTCAGAGCTGGACAAACCATTTTACAGTCATACAGGCTCAAATTCTCTCTTCATTTATACCCACAAAACCCTACTGACTGTCAGGAGAGCTGAGCAGGTAGAAATGGCAGCAGAATTTGAGTGTAGGAACTGGTGAGTGAGAAACAGAAACACAACGCTATTTGATTGCCAGCTACCACAAGTTCCTACACAACTGGTGTTTCATTTCAGTGGGCATTGAGTGCCTAAGGACTATAAGTGAGCTTTGAAAACCTCAACCCTCAGAACCTAGCTACAGATAACCATAATCCTATATTCTTGGATGCTGATACATAAATCTATGATATACCTGTTTAGCTGCCATGGAACTAATCAGCACAGCTATGCTGAAACACAGCTATCATTTTTGCTAATTGCAAAGGCAGGCTAGTAGCAAAGTTCAAATGATTAGTGAGTAAAGGTCCTCAGAGCAATCCTGCTTAAAAGTAAACATCCAGTAAGCTGCAATTAGTGTGTCTTGGTTTTTTTCTTTTATTTATTTATTTATTTATTTTATCGGGGTGGTCTTGAACTGCAGATACAATCACAACGCTCATGGTGATCCAGCTGTATATCTACTAAGGCCATGTTGTTCCTGGTTCTGCCTTTTCTTCTGGGATGCCCAGCCTCAGGGATGAATTTCAGCACCTGGGAGGATCAACAGAAATGCATTGATTAGGAAACACTGTTGGAGATTTGAGGATAAGAGTGTTGGGGCCCTGAGGGCACCGACAGCCCTTAATGGCCCTGACCAGCATTAATTTGGACACATTTTTGTTTTACTTCCACCTTTTTCTTTCCACTCTGTGACATCCTGCTGTACTGTTTGTCCTGGAGCTTTGACAGATTGGATTATTTCCTACATCAGGTATCTTCAGATTGTGCAGTTCCCTAACCATGTCCAGAGTTGCTCCTTTGCATGTGAATTATCAAGCATGTTTCCTTTGGCTCATCTTTGAAGTCCCCTACATATCTGAATTGTTCTGCCCCTTCTCTCACTTGTGTGATATTTCTACTCTAAGGAACAACGAACATTTTTTTATGCAATTTGAAATTTCTGAAGTACATATGATTAGAATTGGTCCAAAAATGAAATGCTTGTAGGAGGCAGAAGGAGATGAATGGAGCTTGTGCAAAATATGTGCCAGATCCCATCGAGTTTCTCTGGAATCTGACTTTTGTTGGTTTATCTTAAAAATCTCTGCCTCAATTGAAATAATTTCTTAAGAATTTACTGTGAATAATGTGAAACAAACAAACAAACAAGCAAAAAATTATTTCCTAGGGAACTATACATCATATAAGAGGCTTCTGAAAAAATTCTATCTAGGCAAGAAAACCCTGAGACTCCTAAAAAAGAGGGTTGTAGGTTATAAAGAAGATGAAAAAGGGGCAATGAACGCAAGTTGAAACAAAAGAAATCCTATTTGGGTTTGTGGAAGAAAATACTGAGAGTGGTTAAACACTGGAGCAGGTTGCCCAGAGAGGTTGCAGAAACCTTGGAGATAGTCAAAATTAACAGGACAAGGCCCTGAGCAACCTCATCTAACTTCAAAATTCTCCCTGCTTTGAATGGGAGATTGCGCTAGATGACCCCCAGAGCTGCCTTTGAACCCTTATATGAAGCTATGATTCTCTGAAAATGGTCTTGTGGATATGTGGAAAACAGCCATAATGTTGCATCCTATCTAATCTTCTGTGATTGTGTAAGTATGTAAACCATGGACTGGAAAAAGCTGAGGAGGATGGTGGTTTGCAGGGGCATGCTTTGTGAGCCCACCGTTGGAGGTTGAGTTGCTGTGTAAGAGCTCACACCCCCACTAGCACGGTGGCGCACGTTGAGGAGAGGAAATGCTCTGTTTTGTTTCATTAGTTTGCTGTTGATAGGCCTACAGTGGTTTAACAAAAGAGGTATTAATTTCCAATTTCTGCCCTGAAGCTCAAATATTAGTTTGGATTGGGTACAACAAATGAGTTAAGACTAAGAACACTTTAACCCTCCTAGAGCATTTTTCTTCCCAAATCTCACAGCACTGAAAGATACGCATCATTGTCAAACTTGTATAGATGGAAAACCTGAAACTGATTTGCTCAAGGCTCTGCAACATATCAGTAGAAAAACTACCAGTGGCATTACATGGTCCTTACCCTTTTGACATCACTTATTTACTGATGGGGAGCAGGACATGGTGAAAGCAAGGCTGCAGCTCTACAGCTGACAGTAGGCAGGTTGGCCTGTTCTGCTCTCTGTGGCCTCAAGTACTTGAGTCCAGAAATCATGCATTGGTAAGGTACTAGAGCTAAAACATCTCGCCTCTTGGCAGGCTGTTGTGACTCATGCTAGCTTGGCCAAGTGACTGCTAGATCAGCTAGATTTGTCTTGCTCATTCAAAAGATGGAGAGAAGTCTGTCTTGTCTATCACCTGCCAAAGCCACTGGTCAAGTGGGGAGTGGGACCTAAACATCTTTAGCATCTCAAACACAGAAACACCCACACTTCCGCCCTGAATAACAGGTTCCCTAACTAACAGATCATAGTGTTAGTCAATAATCCTCTCTTTTTTACAAGGTACTTTCTGTACTTTGACGTGTCGCAACACCATACAAGAATTGACATGGTCTCTGGAAGGAGAGGAAATAAGGGGCTGCATACCAGATCAACAAAGTACTAGCAATTTCAACAGAATTAGAAAGTCCCCAAAAGTAAGTGTGAATGACTCTCCAAAGGTTAACCATGGATGCTGTGCAGAGCGGGTGGGGAAGCCCAGGCAGGTGAGCAGCCTTCAGGATGAGACCATTTGTTCTCTACCATTAATGCCTGGAGGGTAGGAAGGCCATGGGATGTAACGAAAGTGATAAGCACTGAACACAGCCTATTATTTTGTCCTCCCTTTTGTGATAAAACTTGTGTTTAACCTATGTTAAACTGAGAGGAAGGACTGTGCCTAAGCAAGGTACAGACATGCTGCTTTAATGTGTTGGGAAGATATAATTACTTTTCCGTTAGAAATGCAGAGACATGTAATTTTTTTTTTTTAAAGCAACAAAATTATAAAGGATTTGAACTGATTTCAAACATTGACTGCCTCAATATATGCAATAAATCCTGATGGACACCAGGACAATTCACTGTACCACACTGTCATCCAAAACACAGAGGAACTGAACCCAATTGGGTTGGTATGATTATTACAGAGCTGAAAATAGACTGCATCTTCAAAGATGCTTTTTTTTACGAAAATATACTTTTAAGATCAAGTACAGCTGCTGACACTGAACCCACAATAAAATTCCTTATTTAAAGAAGCCTTTCACCAAAATCTGACAAATTCAGATGATTGGCACTTTGCAAGATCATGGGTAGGTAGATCTGCTTTTTTCAATTGAGAGCAAATGAAAGTATGCAATGGGATGAGAGCAAAGATGTGGGCTGTATTTAAGCTAAGAGACCTCTTGACAGCTTGGGGATTTTCCCTGTGTTTTATATTAAGAAACATGAGCACAGTATACGGGCTTTGCTGATAAGAGTAGAAAAATGAATTGGCAGGCACTTCCCAGACAAGACAGGAAAGCAGTGTTTGAACACAGCTGAAATTGGACTGCTTTAATGGCTGATCACAGAGCTGATGTTCAAAGCTCTCCGTCTAGTTTCCATCTAATAGTTTTAGTTTCAGCTAAATACAAGGGAATTGAAGAGAATCAGGAAGGTCACTTCTGGTGACCACAGTAGTTCAAAGAAAACCCTTTATTCTGACAATAGCTGCTGTTTCTTCATTACATGGTCAAGTCCTTAAAGGTGAGGAACTACTGAATTAATGAAAACAGTTCAAAGAAATTTCGTTCAGGACACTTTATTGCTCCTTTTTTGATAGGATCAGTAGCTGTAAGAAAATGTGGATGTGAAGAAGGTCTGGAATGCTCAAAAGGTTTGTTTTGCATGGGCAAAAAAGAAGAATAACCTTGCAGTTTTCAAATTAAAGGAGCAATGTCTGTCACTACTAATCAAAATGTGGTGCCTCAGCTGTTCAGATCATTGCCTCACAAAGAGTATATAACTACAGCCATATCCCCCTCATCAAACACTGAATTAATTACAGTCATAACACTATTAAAACAATTAAATAAAAAATCAAGACAGAGGACTTGGCTTCTGAGGTGGATTTGGTGTTTATAGGTAATACAAAAAAGGGTAGCAGGGCCTTGTAGCATTTCTTGTGCAGACAGCTCCATAGGAGCACACCAATACGCTGGATGGCATTTTACTTTGTAAATATGCCTGAGCATCTGAGAGGTTTCAAGGTGAGGTGACTGTGGCCACTGCATAATTTTCCTTGGGGGCGGTGGTGAAGGAAATACAAAGAAAATGCTTAAATACATTTTCCTGCAAGGAATCTTGCTCATTGATCGTGCATTGAATTTGGATGCCAGCTTCTGAAGGACTGTTTAAATGAGGAAGCAAAGCCATCACAAAAAACAGTATCTGGAAGCTGAAGCCAGAAAAACTCAAACTGGAATTAGGGCACACTTGTTTAAGTCAGGCCAACTCATCACCTGGACAGCCCTCCAAGGAAACGTGGGGGTTCCAGCCTGTTTGAGGACATCAGAAAATGGCTGCCTTTCCAGAAGGTATACAGTACAAGTTTGGGTCTTGCTTTGGGGGCAGCAGGGCGCTCTCCAGTGGCCTGTGGAGCACAGGAGGTCAGGGCTGATGGCCCGGTAGCCCCTCTAATCTCAGCAGATCTGTAAGAGCACTTCATGATCAGGGGCTGAGGAGAGTAGGGCAGTGATGACTGCTGGGGAAAGGACCCAACTGGAGATAACCTGTTCACCCTGACCCATACCTGGCATTTCTCCAGTAGAAGCAGCAACAAAGAGGTGACTCCAGAGAATAATTCACCTGAAACACCCACCTCTGGTGGGGCTAGCTCTGATAACTAGGAAAGGAGCCCAAAGGCTGGACTCGCAGCTTTAGGTGGGTAGAGCCAGATGAGGTGAACCACTCCCTCCAGCATTCGCTGATGGTCCTAGCCATGTATCATTTACCTTTGAAGTCAGGCAACATTTAGCCATGACAGTCCATGACGGCCGATTTCTGTTTTAATAAAAAGCAAAGAATAATAGGAAACCCAGTCAACACTTCTTAAAAATAATAATAAAAAAGGGGTATCCAGTTGCTCATAGCCATTTTTTACTTGTTTACTTTATTTATTAGGAACAATAGTAACATTCTTTGTTAAATTCTTGACTAGTAGTTTAAACATCAATAGAAACCTGAAGCCTCACTCAAAAATCAGCTTTTTCTTTTTTTTTCTGATTAGCTTAAGAAGACCACAGATAATCAATAACATGACTATGGTTTACCAAATATCTAGTTAGCTTCATACTCCAGTGACAGAGGATGGAGAGCAACTCTCGATGCTATTTTAGAGGGTGAAATTTGTACTTTGCAGAACTTATTTTAAATTCCTGCTATGCAGCATTATCTAATCTCCTTCTGCTCATCTAAAAATACCATCATTCTAGCATGCAAACCAAATTACATTTGTCTGAGATTCATGAAAGAGGAAGCATCAAAAGTGCGAAACATTCAACACAGATCCAAGTTCTGATACAGATGAAAAATCTTACTCCACAACTTTTGAAAGTTA